TGCTCTGCCCCAGGCGTCCCCAAGTCAGCTTCTGCTGAAACTGACCAGCGCTGACTACAGGAAGCCCCAGGCAGAGTTGCTCTGCCCCGGGCTTCCTGGAATCAGCTGCTGATCAGTTTCAGCAGCAGCTGACTTGGGGACGCCTGGGGTTCTTAAGTTGATTCTGTATGTAAGTCAGAACTGGCGGTCAGTTTCAGCAGTGTCTGAATCTGGACACCAGTTCCGACTTACATACAGATTCAACTTAAGAACAAACCTACAGTCCCTATCTTGTACGTAACCCGGGGACTGCCTGTAATAGCAATTTTCAATTACCTAACTGGGTATTACAAGGAGGGAGAAAAATTGTTCTTCTTGACTCTGATGATAGAACTAATCAAGTCACTACTCACCTATCCGATAGGCATATGCTTATCGGGTAGTTGACTAGTCACGTCTTTAGTGAAGACAATGAAATATAGGCTTCCTTACAGGGTAGTACAAGCTTGGCATGGACTCTGGATATGTACTTGTCTCACTAGTCTGTTCTGAAGCCCATGCTGTGCTGTTTTCATTGGTATTAACATCACTAGCTGGCTCAGTTGGGCTAACCCCTGAACACAGGCTATTGGAGAGTACTTCTTTAAGGAAAGATATAAAGCATACAATTTCTTGGCACTCTGTGCAACAGTTAAAAGAGTTAGTCCTGGTATCCTGGCCCCATTCTGACTCAGTCTGTTTGCATGCTGCTTGTCTAATTCACATCTGATTTCAACTGGATAAGTTACTCTTTATTTTCCCACAAGTACATTATTGTGTAGAGTTTCCGGTGCATAATGGAGGCCATGTTTTCCTCCTAGAGTTTATTCATTTCAGTATTGGCTAAAATGATCCTCGTGTATGCAGTCTTTTAAGCGTGTAGGTCTCTTTATATTTGGTTTAATGAAACTAAGAAATCATACAGATTTAAGCTTGAAGAGAGAGAGAGAGAGAGACACTGCATCTATATACTCTGAGGGGTAGCTGTGTTAGTCAATAACTTTAAAAACAACTTGAAAAAAACCAGGTTTCCTGGGGCTTAGAGACTAACAAAAATATATGTATAAGCTTTGGTGTGCAAAACCCACTTCTTTAGATAAAATGATTTTGAGTGGGGGGAAAAGGGAGACCCTCAGAATAAGAAGGGAGAGAGGAAAGAAAAAAACCCTGTCAGTTGTAGTCCTGGTGCTAATGAGGCTAATTGAGTGAGCTGGAAATGTCCCATACTTAGCTTTTGGTGTCAATAGGGTGTTATAATATATTAACCAGTTCAAGTCTTTGTTCAAACAAAGCGAGAAGGTGTCAAATTTGCATATGAAAGTCAATTCCGTATTCTCTCTCTCTCTCTGTAGTTGGCTTGTAAAATTACTTTGTAGAAGAATGGCTACTTTTAAGTCCATTAATGAGTGCCTGGGTAGGTTAAAATGTTCCCCTAAAGGTTTGTGCGGGTTAATATTCTAAATATCTGATTTGTGTCCATTAATCCTTTGTTGTAGGGTCTGTCCAGTTTAGCCAGTATGCATGGCAGAAGGCATATGTCACAGAGGATGTGCTGTTGTATGAGCCTCTAATGTGGTGGCTTATGCAGTTAGGTCCTATGACGGTGTTGCTTGTATAGATGTTTGGACAGAGTTGGCAACAGGATTTATTGCAGGATTTGGTTCCTGCGTGAGTGTGTCTAAGGTGTGATATGTGTTTGCTCCCAAGGTCTGTGAGAATGAGGGATCATTTTCTAGGCTAGATGGTAGAGTCTTAATAATGTGCTGGAGGGGTTTGAGCTGCGGGCTATAGGTGATGACTATTGGTGTTTTATTATTTTTTCTTGTTGGGCCTGTCTTGGAGAGGCAATTCTTGGGTACTCATCTGGCTCTGTCAGAAGTGTTTCTTCACTTCCCCAGGTGGGTATTTAAGTTTTAAGAATGCCTGATAAATTGAAGGTGTTTGTCTGTGGGATTGGAGCAAATCCAGTTGTATTTTAGGGCCTGGCTGTAAACAAACTTGCCTCTGTATACATCTGTTTAAGTCTTTATATAGGTTAAATTGCATTTATTCAGATTCCTAATTTTTTTATTTTTTGTTACGTAAAGAAATGTATCATTCACATTTTCTGTTTATTAGATTAATATTTTACTTGTGATTTGTATCAAGGTCTATTTGAATTGGAATTCAGATTAAATTAATATAAAAATCAGAATTTTTAAAATTAGCAAATAAACCTACATTAAATGTGCTAGATACATAAGGTAATAAAAACTTTTTTGTTTTTGCATTTGAACTGACTAGTTAGTTCACCCTAAATCTCTTTCCCTTTAATCAGTTACCTGATTATATCATTTTAATAATTTAAGCAGTTAACTTTTAAACAATATTTACATGCCCATATTAAACAAAGGAATTTATAATCTCTACTTAATGAATTGAACTGATTATTTCTGGTCACTATTTTCTCCGGATTTTAGAAATAGTGCATGTCAGAGCATTTATTTCATAGATTGGAAGAGGAAAACAAGCCTTATTGCTTTTTTCAACTCCAACTTGGTTTCTTAATTTTGAATGCATTTGTCATTTAATTGATCTAAATCAGTGGTCCCCAACCTTCAGAGGGTCCCGGGTGCCCGGGAGGTGGGGCCACTCACGCGCCAGGCGCCCGGGAGGTGGGGGCCACTCACGCGCCGGGAACCCGGGGGCGGGGCCGCTCGTCCGGGGGCACGCTAGGGGACTGGGATGCCCTTGCACCCGGCACCAGCA